TGGTAAATGATAGACATTCATCGAATGATGTATGTTTCGAAAAAATTCAAGAATGCGTGAACGTTTCGAATTTCCCGCACCTTAGAATATCGACAATAGTTCGATAATTCAAATATTGAAAGTTGTTTTTTTTATGAAATATAATCATAACATATGATATAAACATGATAAAGTAGATGAGAAATAAATTTATTATTGTTAAATATTTGATGGTGAAAGTAGGAGACACTTGTTTTGAAAGAATATAAAATAAAGAAAGTAGAGCTGGGTTTTTTTCATAAGATATATTTTACTAAGGAAAATCATCTTTCTCATATTGATTCCGAATATCGAAATTGTTTTGCATAAAAATAAATTGTCAATAATTCCATTAAATCAATATATAATAATAGAAATAACGAATATCGATAGAAAGGTATGAACTATAGAAAAGCATTTTGTTCTTTCTCTATATTTTATGAATATTCTTGCTAAGATAATATTTGATAGTTATTTGTTGTTTCTTTAGACTATTTTTTATTGAAAAGAAGAAAAGATATTTTCATGTATTTAAGAAAAAAAAACAGGAAAATGCTCTTTGCTATATAATGAATAGTTGATTATGATTTAAAATAGTAAAATCGAATTCTTCCTACTGAAAGACTTCTTCAGATGTTCTCGATCAAATATTTTCAAATGTTTTTTTTTTGTAAATAGGTGTTTTTATTGTTATTACTCTACATATAATTGTTCAATGTAAAAGCAGAGAATGTGAGAAAGTTTTCTTTTCTTTTTTTTTGAGCAAAACAAAACAAGTTAGAAATTCATTGAGGAATATTGAAATTCTTATTTATTGGTTTAGTTCTTTCGAGTTTTTTTTTCTGTCAAAAATTTGTTAATCTTTCGAAATCTGATATAAATACCGTTTGGTGTTGATGGTTGTCGATTATATTGATAAAATGATTGATTGTCTTGTCTTTCATTTGATAAAATGTGATTATCTTGAATAAATTGATTGTTTAGAAGAATAGTTCGATCTTTGTTTATTGTTGAAAATAATTGTTGAAAATAATTAAACGAAATTTGTTGAATTGTTGAAAAAAGTATAGATGGAAAAAAAAGTTCCAATAAACAAATAATATATAGAATAGCTTGGTCTTCATATGATATAAGAGAATATATTATTATTATATATAAATGAGCATCGATTAAGATGTTATTAATAATATCTTGTTTTAAATTTTTTATTATATTATTAAGAAATTTATGATCAACAAATGGATGAATTAATTTAATAAATAAATCATTTAATGATGATATTCGATATAAACGATAACGTTCTTCTTTTCGAATAATTAGAAAAAAAATATAATAACTTGATGTTATTATTATTGAATAAATTAAATAAGCAAATCCATAATAAAGAAGTGCTGCTTGAACATTTCTTAGAATAAGAATTGTTGAAATTGAAAAGCCTGAATCAAACAATAGTTAATCAATTTTTATTTGTAGATATATTAATTATCTTTTAAACATAATTAAAAACAAAAAAGACTTTTTCTATCATATCAAAACATCGTTTAGAAATAATTTTTTTTTAAAAACGAAAAAATCTATTCGGATGATATATATATCAGCATGAGTAACTAATCGATTATGTCTTTAATATAGAAATATATTATGTCAATAATAACTAAACCATCATTTTATCTTATAGAATATTCTTCTCAATCTAATTGATTTTATCTTATGAAAATTTTTTCAATTTAACCCTTTGAGTCCGGGATTTTTTTTAAAAACTAAAAATATTTATAATTTCAAATCAATGTTTATTTTTGAAAATATGACCAAATACATAATTCAGAACACTTTCAGAGTATGATAATCTTTAAAACAATCCGTTATACACAGCCCTACATCACATTCAATACATTCATACAATGTATCTGTTCTTGACTTGTCTCTCCTCACAGTATGAGCACAAACGTAATACTTTCTTCTCCGTGTT